ATTTGATTAGGACTCAACTCCCCATAAATCGAAATCAATCAAATTTTCACCAGAAACACAATGACTATAATTGAAAAAAAATTTGTTTTAAACATATAAAAAAACTATGATTATATTTTGGCTGCAAATTAAGAAACTGTTAGTAAAAGAAAAATCGATACCAGGATCGAAAGAACAAAAGAGAGAAAATCGAAAATCATATAGTTGGTTAAAAAATTGATAAGAGACAGGTAAAAGACACCTGGTAACCACAAGATAAAAACACATCGAGAATCAAAATCGAGAATCGAATAAACAAATTTCGATGTCTATTGTTGAAGAGAATCGAGAAATTAGAATAGTGCAAAGTTAAGATTAAAGGGAATCAAAAGCAATTCAAAATACTCGATGTCTGAAATCGAGATCGAGGGAATGCAATTTTCTAAACCGTAAAACTAAGGGACGTGCATGATGGATCGTGGTGACAGTTTTGTTAACTGTTCTTAGGAGATTATATGAAGGGCGCTCTATAAATAGAACGAAGTTGGAGGAAGATGGGGAGATTGGCAGAGACAACAGAAGGGCTAGTGAACAGTCTGCAGGAGAACGACGCATCATGAAGTTTCTAATGCTCTGAATTTCCGTTTTCATTGATTATCTTTATCGCTTTCTTTACTTTCACTGGTAATTTACTTTCATTGCAATTTACGTTTGTCAAACTTTAAGTTTTGTTCTTTCGATTCCTTGTCATTTACTTTTATGCAAAAAGTTACACTTTATGCAAGTTAATATTATGTGTTTAAGATCTTCGCCATTTACATTTCTGCAATTTTGATTTCCTATCATTTACATTTTTGCATTTTCGATTTCCTGTTGTTTACATTTCTGCAATTTCGATTTCCTGTTGTTTACATTTCTGCAATTTCGATTTCCTGTTATTTACATTTCTGCAATTTCGATTTCCTGTTGTTTACATTTTCCTGCAATTTAATATTCTGCACTATTTTTCGATTCGACGCTTTCTTTACTTCGCATTTCTTAATAGAAAACACCAAAAATAGTACTTTCTGCACTCTAGGTCATGTGGTTTGCATCTTTTCGAGATTTTGGGATTCTCAATTCTCATACACATTTCGATTGAAAACTACTTGCTAGCCTAAGTAAAAAGAATTTACATGATTGAGATTTGATTAGAACTTAACTCTCGATAAATCAAAATCGATCAAATTTTCACCAGAAACTGAAACATAATCATATTTTATCTTAAAAAGTTATTTGAATAAGATACTATTATTTAGGTCAAGATTTATTTTATTTTTTTCAATCTATAATCTGCATCTTAACATTGAGTTCACAGAACTTTATAATTTTTTTCCCTTTTTCCTCCACCAATAGAAATGACAATGAAATTTGAAGATATTTCCATTCTCATACTGCTGTGTCTGCGTTCTTTAATTTTTCTTCTTTCAAATTAGAGGTGTTAAAATAAATTTAATCCAGTTTACAAAATTCAATAAGTCAGATTAAAAAAATTATAATCTAAATAAAATAAGACAAATTTAACCTAAACTATTTAGATTAGATCTAAATAAATTTGTCAAACTCGTAAATTTATAGTATAACCTATTTTATAAAATAATATTTATTTTATCAATAAAATATCATTTTATTAAAAAATATAAATATAATAAATTAATTTTATAATATATATATATATATATATATATATCATTTAAAAAGGAAATAATAAACTTTATTTTATTATTTTCTTTCTCTTTAATGTTACCGTCACATTTATTTTTTAATACCAATAATAAAAATAAATACCAATAATATAAGATGATGATATGTTATTACATACAATATATTTTTAAAATATTATGATTAAAGAGTTATGTTAAATAATAAAATAAATAAAAATTTAATTAGGATGAAGTTTAAAAGGTAAATAAATTTTTAAATATTGATTTTAAATTAATTACTATAAACATTTCAATTAACATGTTATTTAATATATATTTTTTTAAGATATTTTAAAAAAATCACTAAAAATACTTTAATTACATAAATTTATAATGTCTATTTAATTAAAAAAATAAAAAAATGTATTATATTGATAATATATGTTTAACTCTAATATATAAACTATTATAATTCTTTAATATTATATAATTATAACAGTTTATTTTAATGATTTTATATATTTTATTTTATCTAATGAATTAATTTTAAATAAATAAATGATATATTTTTTTAAATATATATATAATTATTTTTAATTAAACCAAAAATACTCATTAACCTAAATCAAACTAAATTAAAAGTTTTTTCTATTTTTAAAATATAAATTAAATTAGACCATTAAATTATTTTTTTATCTTACCGACTTAGCTCGCCTACAGCTGTATTAAAAACTGCATCTGCACATATAGCAATAATCTGCTCATGTTTATCCAATTCTTTATCTTATACATGATCGAGTCACAACCATCTAATTAAGATTCTTCTGTTTAAAATCTCAAATCTATGTTGTTCCTTTGTATTCTAAATTTGGAATTATTATATAACGATTCTGGACTTGGTTTGCAGGTGAAGCCGAAAAGAATATTGATATTTTAAGAAAAATACTTATTTGCATATTTTCATTATTTATTCCTGTTATTTAATTATCTTGTTAATCAATTACATATTTATATGCGTATGTTGAATTTTTTTCCATTTTTCACTCTTTAAAATATTTAAAAAATTCGAAACTTTTAGTTTTTACTCAGAATTTAAACCCTGGGTTATTAAAGAACCCAAACTATTATTAAAAGTTTCATTTAATATGGTATTTCACACTAATGTTAATAATATATGATTGTGAGAAAAAATCATCTGTTTCAAAACTTGTTGCTCACGTTTTAGTTAAAGAAAAAATGTTGTTTAATAATTAAATTATAAAGACGAATTCTTAGACAATTAACTGACGGAGTTACGACTCTTCACTTCTCAAATAGGAAATTAAAGGATACGCCCAGCAAAGGTACCAGAGGATAATAGTTAAAAATAAAATATGTAAATAAAAAAAAAAAAACGAGATTCTCAATTTTTGAATTCTCGGAAGACTGAATAAAATAATTTCAGAAAAGGATATATGTGAGATGTGGAGTTACAAGTGTGTTATACCACAAGTTCGTTACGATAATGTATTAAAAAATTAATAAAAACAATTTAAATAAACCTACCCACTGTAACCAAACAAGTAAATAAAACTAAAAGTGTAATATTATTTTTATTTTAAATTTAATATGTTCATGTTCAAATATCAATTAAGAGGGGCAGTAAAATATTTGTAGGCTCACTTATCTGACTCTTTTTTTGTTTTTAAATGCTAACAACCCATTATTTTTTATAATTAAAATTTATTAAAAATATAAAAACTCCATTATATATATAAGTAATAAGCATAAAAAAAATATTATTTTCAGTGTTCGTAAGAAAGTGTTTTTTTTTTTTTTTTTTTACATGTATAGAATAAACATTGAACCAATTGTCACTCTTGCTCACCGGAATCAGAATAATAATAGAAAATCTTGGAAACAAACAAAAAACAATTATGAAAGTGTTTTCAATAGTTTTTTTTTTTTTTTAAATGGACTGGTGATACCTAAAAACAGATTATGTATCACATACATCACTAAACAAGCCTGAATAAAATACAGTCCAACAACTAGAAATGCTGTCAAGATTGGGAAATTAGTAAAACCTAGTTTACAAGACGTTGGCGAAAAAAGTTTAATACAATATCATTTTGAATTTGCTCTCTGTGTTTTGTTTTTATTCTAGTTGTATACTTGTTAATTATATCAATAAACAAATTTGTCATCAATAAGTATTATGATATGTTTTGTTTAAATTTTAAATTTATTTGAATGTTAAAAACCTATAAAAATATGTTATCTGTAATTTTCAGTGTTATTAAGTTATGATACAACGTTTTAATATTATTTGATGATGGTATCATTAATTAATAATGAGTTAACGATATTTAGTATTGATTTTATCATAGTTATTAAGCTATTAAATGTTGAATAATTTCTTAGTATTGATAGCAATGATTTAAAAATATTGATGTGGAATATTAGTAGTGAATGTATATATTTGGAGTGGTTTTGTTTTACTTTGTATGTAAAGAATTATAAACGATTAGGAGATTTAGCTGTGTATCTATAAAAAGGAAATGGGATATTTGGTTTGTGGAAATTGTAGAAAGTTTGTATGATCTGATTCTCTGGATTTTCTATTTTGAATGGTGAGTAACAAACTCGTAAATGACAGCAGCTTGCGTTCAGAATGTAATAAAAAGACGAGCCTTTTCATTAATTTGAATAGGAACAAGGAGAATTACAATTTACCAAAATGGAAAGCGTGTATCGATAACGACAAATTCAGATTCTGCTCCTTTTCTTATTTTATTTTGGAATAATACATGCATTTACCCCTCATTTCGCATCTCTCTATATCCTCCCCGTGAAGTCCAATTCCTTGAAACATCGTGAATCAGAGACTAAATCTACATCAATTATCAAACACAAAAGGCATGTCGTTAACAAGTTTACAACTAACAACACTTAATATCTCCATTGTTATTTATGTCCCCACTCTTCCTTCTTTTAGTTGTCCAAGCAAAAACCAGTTTTAAGGTGGTGTATTATTTGGCTACCATGTTGCCAGCTTCTACCATCACTGCTCATCTTTAAACATTCGACTCGGTGAGACAGATTCACATACGAATACGTTAGATTTTGCCCCAAATATAATAAACAAAGGTCCCCATAAGAAAATAGCGAAATGCCTGTCGGAGTGGTGTTTCTAATAAAAAATAAGTCCAAAACGGAGGAGAAAACTGCTGTTAACAGCCGAAGCCAGAAGGGTTTAATTCCCTGATCCGATTCCAAAGTCCGTAAAATCAAATTGCAGAATAATTTACTAGAAAGAGAAACAAAGGAAAAAAAAAGACAAAAACACTTATGATTCATTTAATGAAAACCCGAGTTATCAGAAAAATTGGAAGACACATATTCCCTCACTTCCCTAGCGATCACATCTCTCATCATATCCCAAAACCCCGCCGGCGCACTCTCCGGCGAGGCACCGTGGTCCGGCACAGCGTCCTCGGCAACGGCGGCGTTGGCGATACCTGGGGGAGCGAGAGTCAACGCGGTCAACGGGTCGTCCTCGAAGGAACGAGAAGGAGCGGAAGAAGAAGCGGCCCCTTCGTTGTTGCCATTGTTTCCGTTAATGTTAATGAAAGCCTTGGCTCTGCGCTTGAGCGTGGAGTTCCAGTGGTTCTTAACGGCGTTATCGGTTCGGCCCGGTAGCATTCGGGCAATGGTGGCCCATCTGTTACCGTACTGGGCGTGGGCGGCGATGATGGTGTCGTCCTCTTGGGCGGAGAAGGGGCGGTGCTCGACGGCGGGGCTGAGCTGGTTGCACCACCGCAGGCGGCAGGACTTTCCGGACCTGCCCTTAATGTAGCGGCTGATGAGGGACCAGTTGCGGGCACCGTATCGGTCGACGAGGCGGGTGAGGATCCGATCCTCCTCAGCGCTCCATGGGCCTTTGATTCTGTGGGGATTGTTGGGGTTCCTATGGTTGGAGTCGGAAGAGGAGGAGTCGGAGGAAGAAGAAGTGGTGGAGGAGCTTCTGTTCAAAGCTTCCATCGAGTGAGTTGAGAGAAAGTGTGTTGTTATGTAGAAATGTGGTTGTTGGGTTGATCTGGTTTATATATGGAGAGAGTGTAAGAGTGTGGTGCGGTGTGGTGTGTGATGAGTTGAACTTAAAGATGCATGCAGCGTGATTGGAAGTATAATTAAAACGGGTAACGGGGAAGATGTAGAGGGAAGGGTACTTCCAGGAAAGTGGGGTTTTGTATAGTTGGCGGGGTGTGGGGGTCTAACTACTATGACTCTTGAGATGCGATTTGTTTTGATATCTACTTCCATTACTATTATCGTCTTCATAATCCAATCCTCCTTTCTCTTCCTTACTTTCTTTGACCATTTTCTCCCCTTTTGAAATTTCCTCACCACCTTCATTCTACATTACTTTATTACTACTATTCTTTTGGATCCTATTGCTTTTTCCTCCCTACATCGCCTCTAATCAATCATATAATAATGCTTCCAACCTTTATTATTCTACTTTTTTTTTTTTTTTTTATTCTGTCATCTTCTCCTTACTAATTTGGCTCTTTCTAATTCATTACAGTTAGCCTGTATTTAGGTACCCTCAGGTTGGAATAAGAAACATATTCTTTATTCCATTTCACACGTATGTCGTACAAATAAACGCTCCAAATATAGACTCACTACACCACTGGAAAACCCCACCCTAACAAACACCTTACACACCCTCTGTTTCTTTTTTGCCTTATATCTTTCTTAGAGTGTGTTTAGTTTAGGGAAACAAATAATTAAGAAAAAAGAAAATGATCTTCCATGAACACATGAGCATGGTTTGTTTGTTGGGTGCGTTTAAAACATGAGATGACAGGAAAAGTTGCGCTGTTTAACACACAAGAAACGTTTTTAAAAAATTATAATAAAAGGTAGAAGCAGAGAATAGAAAGATTACTAAAAAGGAGAGAGGCAGTGGGGTCGAAACCCTTTTTGACTACTTTTTGTTTGGCGGAGGTACACAGAGATACAGCTGTAATGTGAAAGATAAATTTCATGTGTGCTCTCAACTCAACTCAACTCAACTCTATCTATATCCAACCAATTATCTTCGCACCCAAACCCTAAGCTGCTCCTGCAAAACCCAAATCATATAAAATAAATTACCTTCAAACATCACTTCAACCTCCTCCACGTAACATGACCCCACTCCAGCCTGTAAGAATCTCACGTGATTCAAATTCAATCCCTTTGACTTTTTCCTCCTTCCCCCACATTCTCTACACAACACAATTTCAATCACCCCAAACCATCTTCACTTACTCCCACACGCTTTTATTATCGTCTCAACCAAAACAAACTATTCCAAACCTCTCACCTTCGTTTTTTAACAACCTACTTAATCTTAACGGAATTCTTAATATCACATTTTAGTTTATGCCATATAAGTACATACATGTCAAATCTTCATACTCACGTCACATTCTCTTTCACCGTTACATTTTTTTCTTTTCGTAAATAATAAACTAGAAAAACACAAATTCATTCACGTTCAAATTTTATATTTTCATGTCTAATATGTTTGAAATTTCATCCTTTCTATAGTCACTGAATAAAAACATACACTACAATACAAGTATAAAACAAAATTGTTTTATATAATACATTTTAACCTGCAAACCCTGAATTGAGAGTTATGTAAATATTAAAATATACTTTAAAACATTATTTTTACATTAAGGATGAGAAAATTACATGGAAAAAAAACTCAAAATAGCTAGTAAAAAAATTATAAATCTCTTAATTATTATTATTTGAAACAACATCAAATCAGTAAAATTATTATATAGACATCGTTTCGTAGTTGTATCTATACTTTTTTATCTTGTAATTTGTAAGCTCAGATATCCACATTGTTAAATTTAAATTAGCATCGGGTGTTTCGTTCCTTTAATTATTTTTAATAAAAATATTATTCTTGAAAGAATAGGGAAAATGAAAGTAAAGAGCATGATACGGTTAGAAATAGAGTTCGTTTTTGAGAAAAGGAATGAGGAGATGGTAGCCGCCCACGTGGCATAAATAAATTTGTTTTGGAGTATTGTGATCCTAAAAAGGAAAGCAGTTGGGCAGTTAATAAAAACAGCTGGCACCAAACTCTAACGCACCGACTTCTTCTCTTTCTTCTCTTACAACTTCCATTACATTCCAATTATAACAACTAATGACCGCACCATCCCACAATAATCATAATCAAAACTATACTCTCCTTTAAATTTAGGATTAGAAGTCAAAAACAATACGAATAATGTGTTTTTTAAGCTGTTTTCTACGAAAGAAAATAAATCAACGTTTTGAATTTGTTAAAAGAAAAAAAAAAAAAAGTTGTGACAAAAGAAACTCAAGTTTTTTTATATTATGAAGAGTCTTATTTTTTTGGTGCTTTATCCGTCCAATTTGAAGAGAACAGAGATTATGACGGGACAAAAATCTTTATTTCTTCTCCTGTCGTCAATTGCGTCTTGTTTGACTTTGAAAACAAAATAATAAAAAGTGAAAGAAAATAATAAAAACAGAGATATTTTTATTATATAAAAAGTAAAAGAAAAAAATATATAGATATAGAATGACACAATTATGTCAATAATATACACATATATATACAAACCAGAGTATTTTTATTTCCATACAATTAAAATTTGTCTTACATTTTTATTTTTTAAAATTGAGAAGAATAAGAGTATTTGAGTGAGAACATAGAATTATTGTTTCCCTCCCGTTTTAAATTTGGTAATGGAAGATAAGGGAAATGTTGGATATTTTGCATCTTTAAACTACACCGGAAACTATTGACGACTCCTTTTATGATTCTGATATGAAGTTAATGATGTTAAAATGTTGTCTTAAAAGCGATGGAAATAGAGTGATTAGTTTGATCGGGTCGGGTCGGATGGGAACAGAATAATGTTAGGTGCGGTTCATGATGGTAGTGGAATAAGAGCATGAATGTATGTTGATGGAGATTTAATTTTGCGGAAGAAGAGAAGGGAAGAGGAGAGGAAAAAAGGTAGGCATGAATGGGTCCCCCGGTGTCCCCTTCCAACCCATTTGCCGGTATAAGTGGGCCCACTTCCTTCCGCGTGTGCTAACTGCAATGCTCACTCGCATCTATCTCACTCTCCCTGCGCTTTCTCCTCTGATGTTTTTCTTACATTTTCTTTCAAATTAATTTTCTATCAATTTTAAATTCCCAATTTATAATTCATTTAATCCGGGAGCACTGCCCTCCTTAACTAGTGCATCAAAAATATATTTTATAATAACCTTTTTAAAATAAGTGTTTCAAGAAATATATTATAAAATTAATTAATCCAACCACACATTTTTTATATAAGGTTATGGTAGTAAACACCAACACATCTATTACCTAAATTGCATGGAGAAATAGAATATAACAAGACATTTAATATTTTATTTATTTTGTTTCGGGGACACCATCAATTTTATTCAATGATGACCACGACTTTTGTGTAATGTAATATTATTATACTTTTACTCAACACTTTTTTATAATTTTATGATAAACTAGCACAACACATATGCGACACGCAGTCTATATATCATATATTTTTTTTAACAAATTTAATTTTATACATATGTTTATATATAAAATATATTTATTTATTAATAATATTATTAATTTAACTAAATATATTATTAATTTATAATTATTCATTAAATGTTAAAAGAATGTAAATATGAAAGTTATGAATGTTTCACAATTTTGCTTACGAAAAGTTACATGATGACAAATGATTATTAAAGAAGATGGGTGATTATTAATTTATAATTTTTTAATGGTAATAAATATTATTATAATTAGTAAAAAGGCGTGTGTTTATCCGGTGTGTGTCAATTAATACATAAAACATAAGAATATATATAAAATAAATGTATGTTTATAAGGTTGAATGGACGATGAGTAATGTAATACTTTCATTTAGTAAAACAATCAACAAAGTAAATATGATATAAAAAATAGTTTTTAGGTGAGTTAAGATGTAAAAAAAACATTTTGAATTAACGATGATTACAAACTAACATTTTTATTAAGAATTTGTTTGAATTTACTGAATTTCAGGTTGTATGTTCAGCTCTAATTTTAGTCACAAGAGTTTAACTTTTTTCAACATTTTGTTCTTCTTATTAACACGATATACAATTTTTTACAATGTCATTTTTCATCTAAAAGATATTTTATTTTGTTAAAATTTAATTACGTTTTATTTATATTAGTTTTATATGTTTTATGTAGAGATTTTATTTTATTTTTAAATAATCACATCTATTTACTATAAAATATTAATGAAGGATAACTGTGACAAGTTACGATTTATTTGCTGCTTAAATTGATATAAAAAATAAAAAATATAAAATAATAAAAAAGTTGGTAAAATAAAAATACAAATGGTGAAATATAAAAAATTGGACTTTTATGTATAATGAATAAATAAAATAAAATATTTTTTAAATATTAATAATTTAAATTTAAATTTAATTGATCAATTTGATTTTTCAAAATTTTTAATCAAATTGATAAATACAAAGTTAATTTTTTTAGTTTGTATTTTTTTTCTAAATATTTTATATAAATATTAACTCTAACTAATATTATTTTATTTATAATTTATCTTTATTAAATTATATTATGTCATCTTTTTTAATTTTATTATTTTTATTTGTTATATATATATATATATATATAATAAAATAATTATATTTAAAAAATTTAAAATGAATTAATAATTAATTTTTTTATTATTTTAAACTAATTAATTATGAATTAACTTATTAAATATTTTTTTATAAATTATATATTTCATTTGACAACTTAAAAAAATTAAATTATATAATCAAATGTCTAGATATATTATTATTATTATTATTATTATTATTATTATTATAATAAGTATTTTATAAATGTAAAAAAATAATTTTAATATATATATATATATAATAAATTAATATACCTACAAATATATATATATATATATATATAATTAATAATAATTACAAATTATAAATATATATTTATGCATAAAAATATATAAAAATGATTAAAATTAATTTATTATAATTATAATATTTTTTAAAATAACATAGATTAAGGACAAAATAAGAAAACGTGAAATCAAATAAGAACGAATAGAAATTTAATTTCTAACCGAGGGACATTTGAAAAGTTCAAGCACAAGCTCGACCCATGGTCATGCCTAGTGCTCACCTTAAACTTAAACTTAAACATATGGAGGAGGTTCCAAGTTTGATTATTTAATAACACATCTCTGTACTGAGAAGAATTGTAAATGTGACTAATTCTTAGTTTTATGAGAATAAAAACCAAGTACAATAATAAATAGTAAATAAAAAATATCATATGAGTAATTAATATATTTCATTATAATCTCAAATTCAGTATTTTGTTAAAAAATAATTTACCAGTTCTTCTTAAAAACTTTTTTTTCTGGGGTAAAAAATAAATGTTAAAACAAAGGCCCATTTAAACCCAATTCCAGAGCCTTTAAGTTTCGGCCCGAAAAGTATAGGCCTCGAATATCGTCTGTGTTTTATTGTGTTGGTCCATTAATTAGAACAGGTACAAACTAAAAAATTTCGAAGCGATAATTATATCTTTTTTGTTGTTTTAGGTTTCCCTAAGTTTAAAAGTAGTATGATTATTTTTTGTGCGGTGTTAAATGGGCCTAAATGTCCAGTAAACTATGGCTGTTAATTTGTAATGCCCACAACAGTGTTCCTTGGGACATAATCTCACTGTTGTTTTTGGAGGGAAATGAAAAGAAAAGGGAACAATTTGTTATTGGTCTCATGTTTAAATTATTGACATCAGATTCACTTTCACAATCGATTCAAATGTAGTCAACATAACTAATTTTTATAACATAACATAGTTCATTTGAATTGTTATTGAGATAAGTGTTTTTGTGTATCGCTTGACAACACTGTTGTAAATACATTTTTTTTCTGTAAATATAGATATAAAAAAACTTCAAGAAATTTTTATTTTTCACCCATGAATGATTTCAGGTTTTTAAATGTATATTTAATAGAAACGAATCTTATTACTTGCATGTGTGTGTAATGTTCAAAATAGTAAAAATATTACCAAATGCAATAAGGTGCTTTGAAATGTAGAAATGCATTAATTTAATTATCTTTTAAAATAATACATTTTTTCAAGTTCTTTTGGTTTAAATCATTGCTAATTTCGGTTAACATGTTATAAGCAATTAGGTATATAATATTATCAAATTTACTCACAACTTATACATCATTATTATAATTGTTAAACTATATACCTTTATATTTAAAAAACACAAATGATCGTAAAATTAATAATTACTCAAACTATTTTTCTTTTTCCAATTGTCCCACATAAAAGTAGATAACAAAAATATGATTATATATTTAAAGTATATAAATTTTAAATACGCAATGGTACTTAAATTCTTTTAACAAAAATATATATTTATATAAAATAAATTAAATAATTAAGATACTTGAAAATGTCTTACTTTTATGTAAGTAATAACAATCCCTATTTTTTTAGTGGTTTTTACTTAACCAACAACCTTCTTAAATTTTGTATTTTTCTTAATTAATATATTGATTATACAGTTATTAACACTGTAAAGTTGCTATTATTGTAATAAATAACTAAAAACATTTTTAGAATAAGATTTGATTATAGTCTTTGAAGTGGGATTGAAAATACGTTAAAAAATAAAATAAAAGTTTTCAATCATATATCAGTTTGTCCTGTATGTGGGAAAAAAGACATGCTGCTACTGACAAATATCTAAGTTAGAGAGGGTCAGTCATGACCTACAAATCCTATAAAATCTATATTATTGAAGAAAACTTTTTTTTTTCTTTTTTAACACAACCATTTCATAAATCATATCAAATGTTTTAATTTAACGAATCAAAGCGCAAAGATCTTGGAAATTTTTACAACTATAGAAGAAAAGATGGCATCAGTTATAATTTATTAAATAGTGATTTGATTTTTATAGATCATGTGCTTAGCAAAAATGGATATTAAATAAAATAACTGGGGCAACTTCTCTTATTAGATTCTTTGAGCCTATACGAACAAGCTACTGCAATAATTCCATATTTATTACCGGAGAACTTTTATTGAATAAGAGACAAATTGCACAAATTCGATGTGGAAAACAGAACGCACGATAAAGGTATGAAAGTGACCAGAAGTAAAAATGTTCAGAAATAACTGCACGTGTATATTGATTACTTCCTACATTCTTCTCACTTGGATTGCAATTCGATAATCTTTTCTGTAAATGTTGAGAAAAATGGAACTTTTCTTGTTAACTCATTCACACTAGACGTCCCAGCCAAAAGCCAATTGATTTTTTCTTTCCAAACCCTTTGAAGTTTGACTAAACTAGCAATTGACAAAGGTGAAGGGTAGAAAGAAAATGAGAAAACCTGTGATTAAGTACTGCTATTGATCATTTATAGTCTTAGCCTATAGCTTAACCTGGATTATTATTCCTTCTCCAAAGAATTGACCCAAGAAAAAGTTTCTACGATTTTTGGGGAGGGCAACCTACCTAGGAAGCTATAGCTTCAGAATCAACTGACAATCATAACTGGAATCATGAAAAGGAAGAAACCATCTCACAAACAACAAGTTGAGATGATGGCGTGTGAGGATTCATTAATTCAATGCCACTTTTTCCAAAAGCTTGAGCTTCGAATGGTTCCAATAATAATGATACAATGTAAGCTGGATAGGAAGTAGGAGGTAGGTACGTACATATACATATACATGTACATATAGATATAGGTTTTGATAAAGATGAAGACAGGATGATATATATATGAATATGTGAATATGTTAATAATTGATTTGATCAATGTTCTAGTGAGGTCTAACAAAGAAGATACTCAACTCTGGGGCTTGAGCCCCATCTGGGTTTATCATATACAAGGCTTCTGAATCCTTAGAGCCAACCACCCTCTCAAACCTTGCCCTCATGTAGGTCATTTCCCCATCGGAATCTTTATGATCAGATGCGCCGGGGAGCACCCCTGCTCCCATGGAGACCCCTCTCAAATGCTGCATGACGTGAAGCTCATCATCGCTCATTTGTTTCCTCCTGATGGAATACCCAACCTTTCTCCCATTGCAGTACACCGCCCACACGAACTCTTCCAGAAGCTTCTTCTTGTTGCTCTTCGTCTCGCTCTCCAACGCGATCCTCACGATATCCGACGCCATTTCCTTGTTCAAAGCACTCGCCAGCATCGGCAACTCGATCAGAAAAATGGGCATTTGACGCGTGTCCTCTTGTATGGCTAGACTCACCCTGCCCTTGCGGTAACCGAAGATGGTGCCAGTTGTAGCACTGTCCTTTAGCATTTTCCGAGGTCTTCCCAAGAGTGCCACCATTTTGCATCCAGAAGTCAACATAGGAAACAACTTGAACATTTTCAAAAGCCCCCCTCCGGTCGGGAATCTGTTACTACGCTTACTCTCCCCTGTCGTGTGACGGAGTAAAGATGCCAAAGCCGGGTTCTCCATCGGGTAACACGGGCTAGAATGCACTGATGGCATTATAGCATGTTCATTGTACAATATGACACTAAATATATATTGTGTAGGATGTGTGTTGTATATATATATATGTGTGTGTGTGTGTGTGTTGGAGATGGGGGTGGATAAGGAGTTTACAGCTCACAATGAATGATGGATCACACAGGTATGATATAGAGAGGAAGGGGCGAAGGAAGGTGTGAGTAACTATACTATTGATTGGGTGTACCAAGCTAATAAGGTGTTAAAGAGGGTTAAGACTTGAGAAGTTAGTTGGTCACTAAAACGGGTTGTCATGGAATCTTTATAGTGGTTACTTTCAACTTGCTTGAGTGAGGGAAAAACTGAGATTAAAGGTTGATGTGACCAAGTTTGTGAATTGATAGGGGCTTGATTGTGATAAGATAAGGGCAGGGTGGACCACGGAGTGGGGTTAATGAGGAAGAAAAAACTAAAGAAAAAAAAAAATGAAAAAGGTGAACGTGAAGAGAAAAAAAGAGTTGTGGTAATGTTGGAGTGGCATGTGCCTCTCTGATCATTACTTAGAGTATCAACGTCAATTGCTTTTTGCTTTCTCAAACCTTCACTTGTAATTATTGAGATGAAGCTCGTCCTTTCCCTAACATTTTTGCTGTGTGTACATGAAAATTTGCTTTTGCTTCTTAGTGACTCTCTCTTTCCTTCACCCCTTTTTTTAGTTGCTCCTTTATTTATTTTGATGTGTCAGACCATAGGTCATATTCGACAAAGGCGTGTTAGGCAGTAGAAATTATCAACAGAACAGGCCCGGTTGTACGAACCCACCCTATCTTTTTTTTTTTTTTCTTTCCTTTCATGCCTTTATTTCGTATTCCATTTCCACGCTCATGCTTTTGCATATATGGTCCGGGATCACCTTATTTCAAGTTTCTCTCAAATTATACGTGTGTGATCAAATTTCATTCCATACTAAAGAGAAAGATAAAAACACCAAATCGGGTAAAGAGCAAGATGGGAAACGAGAGTGGTGCATTAAAAACATTAATGTTAGATGTTAAAAATGGGGTTTGCGTCGAAGGTGGGGACCATTCACGCGACTAATGAAAAAGTAAGAAGCAACATCGGTATCAGGCTGGTACCATGAGAGGTTGACAAGTATGCATTAAAGTTCCTTTTACGTATGACTCGTTACAATGTGATTTCGGCATTCCTAATTTTTCTGTCCCTCATGTGCTTCTGTTTCATTGCATTGCATTGCATTGCACCACTCACCCCTCACCCCTCACCTCCAAGCTAGCTACTCTACTCTAACAACATATATAGAAAATGCAAAGGAAAAGTAAATGAAATCGCAACTTAATTAAAGTTTTGAGTGGAAGTGGGTTTCAAATGAGGCCAAGAAAGAATTGAAGCCAGCTATGGCATGGATATCATAATCTTTGGTCCAATGGACCTACAACACTACAAATTTTTGTTGTCAACTGTTACAGAGCAGTGACTGATTACCAGCCACAATGTTGTAACTATGTCCTTACTTGGAACAAACAAAGCAATGTTTATTCTCTGCCTTGCGTCCCTCCAATGTTTTCTGCTTCTCATTCTTCTTTCCAACTGAAACATCAAGTTAGGCTAAACCTTCACATTATTATCAGCGGCACTTCCCAATGAGTGAATGGATTAGCTTCAAATCAATTATTCTCATATCATATTGTCTTGGAATTATTGGAGGTTGTCATGGGATTCATGATTGTATTTTTTATTTTTTTTTGGTTTGTATTATGTGACTGATTGAATGGCCTGTTGTTGCTGATTGGGGAAGGTAGACATAACAGAAACATTTTACCAGAAAATACACTTTCTGGAGATAGCTAGAAGCTTTGGTGGAAACGCTGCGTCTCAGGTTTGACCGTAACAGCTTGCCCAAAAACCAGTCACAATCACTTATTGGACACGATCTGTTCATGATCCAAATTAAACGTTACTTTCCATGTTTCAATGAAAAAATAAAATAAAAAGGAAATCATGTACAACAAAAGTTGAAGAGTTCACGTTTCAACAACATTGACAATAATACACCAATTCAAGGACATACACTTATTCTTTCTATTTCTCATCCAACAAACAATACTTTACTTTTATCATTTAATTCATCCTTTATACTTTTTCGAATGAGTTTCTACAGGAATAAATGAATGTTAATCCATCTTCGGATATAAATCGTTGTCAAATATATATTCATAAATTGATATTCTATTTACGAGGGTGTTATTATTAATATATATTGATGTGCAGAATTAAAATTTCAATTTAAATATGATATACAATTTTACTACAATTATATATATATATATATATATATATATATATATATATATATATATATATATATATATATAAAACAATAAGAATTTATAATTTTATGTTTTGATTTAGTTTTTAATATCATAAAGCTATGATATTATGTATTTTCAATTCTTTTATGTATCTTTGATTATTAAAATAATTTAATTAAACCATCCTGTTCCAATATGAATCAACCCCATTCAATGTTGGACTAGTGTTCAATTTTATTTTATTTTTTATCAAACAAATAACATATTTTTAATCAATAGATACTTTTTTAAGGAAAAATAGTATATGTAATTATAATGTAAAGATTTTCATGTTAAGGTCATTTTATTATTTTTTATTTTATCATAACTACCTTGAAAAAGTTATCCTTGGCATATTTTTTTATTATTGATATTATAAGAACTCTCTACACAATCAATACATAAGAAGTAAAAGTTCAGCTATGAAAATAAAAAGAGAAAGATTGAAAAAAAAAATGATTGAGAATATAAAATAAATATACAAATAATTATAGAATTATATAGTCTGAGAACATTGATTTTTTTTTTATAATTAACTGTTGTAGTATAGAACAAGAATTGCATGCATCAAAATTATAAAAGAAAGAATATTGAAAATATTTAATTGAGAGACTCGAGAGTGAAAGCATCACTCTCCAAATCTTTATTTTTTGACTTTTAATGATAAAATTAAGGTTTAAAAATAAAGTCGTATTCTTCAAAGCCTCAATTCATGCGCAAAAATGGGCTCTTATATTCTGGGCTTTGTGTCTGGGCCTGGTCTATAAGGCTTTTTACATTCCTCAAGTGCACTCCATGTCTGCGTGTCCTGCTAATCTGTTTTAGGACCTGCAACTAAAATTAATATTTTTGTTTATATTTATCCATTTTTTAAATTAATATAACTTTCACTATAAAAATGGTGAATATATACTACATAAGATTTAAATAGAAATAAAAAATAATCAGAAATATGATAATTAATATTATCTAAGTTATTTAAATAAAAAACATGACTTTAAATGAAATCAATCTCCTAGGTAGCCATGAAAACGGTATTGGAGATAGCATAGGAATATCCGAATAGGGTAATTTGAACCCTCAACACATCAATTAGTAACATAAAGTGTTATATTAACTTAAAATAAAATCTAAGACAGTACTAAATCATATTCATAAATTTTTTTGAACAAAATACAGTTCATTAATAACAAAATTTAAAAGATAAATAAAACAGATTATATGCTGCTATTTTTTCTACCAAATTGTTCAACAATTTAAACGTGTAACAGGTTAAAATAAATACAATATATTTCCTCGATTAATATTTTTCCAACCTAATATAAAAAACTTAAATAATATCGCTTATACGAAGAATAATATTTATATAACTTTTATAATTTAATGAACTTTATCACTATTACTACTTATAAATAATAACAATAAAAATAGCCTTTTATATATATGTATATGTTAAAAAAAATTACTTTTAAATTAAAGAGTTGACTTTACCTACCCTCAACTGAGTCATATTAACATAAAACAAAATGTTGGAATATAAGTAAATGTTTATTTTGAACTCCTTCCTTAATATATTTCTATTTTATTTTAATTTAGAGACTATATTATGATAAGGCATTTAAGAAAATGCATTGAAAGTGAGAAAAGAACAAATAGCTTTTACATTATTCTTATATGTAAGTATGATCTAAAGCTGTATACAAATTGTATCCACAGAACAAATAAAACCTTAAAAAAAAAAGCAGAAACAGAACTATGTGCACAGCAAGTATCTAAAATTGAACTCATGTGGCAAAATGTGTACAAATTGTGAGAGGGGCTCGGTTTTTTTTTCCTCAAGAAACTTAATGGCTTCTTTCCCCACATCACTTGGTAATTGGAGGCACATCCAATCCAGCAATGATTCCAAGTCTTTTGCAAAGTCCAGTAAATACCAATCCAGCAACTTGGGTATAAGGAACTTTGATGTCGAAATTCCAACTGCAGCCTGTAAGTATTCCCTTTTCGCCATTTCAAGTTCGTGCTCAACCTGAGATGCTGTGTAAACTCTCACCTGCAATTGGCAAAATCAGCAACAAGACAATGCAAATCATGAAAATATTGAGTGCAATATAAGCAGAAGTTCACAATCAAGCAATTTAACACGAGTAATGGACAATGCATTGGGTATAGGAGATGAAAAAAATTCAATGTAAAGTAGGTATCAACTTACCGCTGGAGAGGACCAAGTTCCACAGGATAGAGCAAATGTCACTAGAGGTTGTGACAATTCGAATCCGTAAGTTTCATGATTTTTCCCTCCCTTTGATAATGTTGTCTGTTTAGATTTTAGCTGTAAGAAGCTTGGTAATTTCCAATATTCCCACCCAATAAAAGCTAGTCTTGAAATGAAAACAACCCTCAATTATAAAAAAAATGACAAACTTACAAATTTCCTGTTATAAGGAAGTCTTAAAATGCAATGTTCTATGGTTGTTGCACTTAGCAAGTGTCCACCCACATTTATTGTTGCCTGAGTAACAAGAAAACAGCATAAAGTCTTGAGCCTTTCAACTCGGGGAACAAACAAAAATGCATTGTCATCTAGAAGCAAAGCTTTCATACCTTCTGCATCAGCGCAACAACCATTTCAGGACTCTCTGGTATGCCATTTTCTATGTATGCCTGAAG